CATACCACGCGCCTGACACCATACAGGCTGTCCCCCAAGAGCCGTTTCAATCTTTTCCCTCCCTCACCCCAGCTTGACACATGTCCAATTCATTAATGGCACGTACTATCACGACGACTTACGTTATTCAAATCATATCACCCAAAACTTATACCACCAATTTTTTCATGATTATTACATTTTAATAATCAAGAAAATGTTTCACCTCCAACCCCCCCCCCCCCCCCCCCCCCCCCCCACCCCACCCGTCTTCCCCATAAATACCCTTCTTCCCCATTCTTCCCTTCTTTACGCCTTCAAAGCCTACAACAAAGACACCGACGAACTCAAAACCTGCAACTTCCACAAAAATGGCCTCCTCCGCTTCTGACGAATCCAACAATAACGATAGCCGGATACAATCCACAGGTGCCGACAGCCACGAACTTGTCTTCTTAGCCATGAAACCTAACAATCACTCCATTGAACTGCGCAACACTCTCTTTGACGACAAGTTTGCAATAATGATTGTGTTCTTCAAGAACTGTATTCTTCTCCCCGCCATCACTCTAGTAAACCCAAACGTACCATTAAAGTACGTTCAACAATATTGGCAGAACTGCGAGTTTGATCCTCACAGTCACGGAATAATGGGGGACATAGATGCCCCAATTGACATGATTTGCTCGCTAAAAATATCGCGAACAAAAGTTTCTAGGGTTCTGTGCATTCCCACAAGACGGGAACTAGGGATCGAGCAATATGACGAACCACCTACCTCCGACGACATCCTTAGGTTCGTAAAGATGCTAGGGTACAATCGTGAACTGCGAAATGTATCAGACTTCAAAAGACAATTCATCCCGCCAATGTGGAATTTGTTCTTCTCCATCCTTAACTGATCCCTCACTTGCAAGCTAGGTTCCCTAGACCAAGGATATCTCAAAATAATGACATGGGCTTTTCTTCAACCTAAATCTCGACTATGCCTTCCACATTTACGACGAGATTCATGCAGCTGTGATCAAAAAGTGCAAACTTCAAGCCGCAGGAAAGCCACTATCTGCAGTTCTCTTTCCCCGATTCCTCGCCCTCTTCATTGGGGACACGATGGTGCCACACGGACTACCTGCTATGGATCCCTTCACCCCAATCTACAAGATGCAAGGACATCGCCCAACACTTTTGAAGGAAGGATACAACATCCACCGACCGTTGTCCCGGGCTATGCTCACTGTCATACCATCGACAAGTGAGATACGCCAGACCTATGAACGCTCCATGCTGTCCCAAGAACCGAGGGCAGCTACCCCGGAGCACTTAGAGCCATCCCTCCCTCCAAGCGAGGGAGCACAAGCATCGTCCTCATCAGATGACGAAGATGATGATGATGATGATGCTACTCATGCTACCCCGGCCTTACTCACACAATTCCTCAACCCACTTCCCAAAGGGCAACCACATCCACTACCCCTGGCGATCAAAGCCAAAGGGGTATTAAAATAGGACGACCCGGTCCCACCCCAACCCCAGCCAGCCATCCAGAGGCCATTCTTCGGGCCTCTGGAGATGAACAAGCCGAGGAAACTCATTTACCATCACCCCTCTCTCAACAGAGAGGTGATGAAGAGACAAGAGCCCTTTCACCTCAGGGCTCGCCACAACCAATCACACACATAAAAGCATTTGTTGCTTCTGATGTTGAACCCATAGATCGTTCAGAGCGATCTTCAATTCGTGCACCACTCCC